TCATTTTTTTTTTATTTTGTGTGTTTGACATCATTAAAAGGTTAGAATTCATATTTTCAGAATCTGTAAATAACTCAAAACATCCCAAGGAGACTTGTTTCCTGGTTTTGTCGTGGTCAGTCACCTATATGAAGAGCTAGTGAGGATTTGGAATTTGTGTGTTTTTTGTTGTTTTTTCCAGTTAACTGAGTCTCTGTGTTGTCGCCTCTAACCCTTGATTGTTTCCAGCTGTCCCTCGTTTCCTCTGACTACCCTCTGTGTGTTTAACCCCACCTGTGTCACCTGCTCCCTGTCGGACCCTGTCCTGTGTCCCGTTCCAGTCGTATTTATCGTTACCAGTGTCTGAGTTCTTGGACTCCTTGCTCACCTGTGCTGCCTGGACCTCTTTGTAATCATCATTAAAACCATCATTTCTCATTGCCACCTGGGTCCACCGCGCTTCCATCCTCGCCACAATAACCACAATTCACGACAGAGCTGATGTTACAGTGAGCAGGGTTAACCTCCTCTACAGTTTTAAAGACGCATAGAAATTGATTAACAAGGTAAAAATGTTTGACTAAAAGTCCCCAATAACTGGTTAGGCTGTCAATCTCCCACAATTCCACTCTTACATATATTTCTACCTATTATTGGCGGAAAGGCTCAGTAAATTACACTCACTGAAGTATTTTATTGACTAATTGTGCAGGTGTTCATTTAAAACCAAACGAAGCCATAAAGATTAAGCTTTCTGATAATTAAGAACCTTGTGATGACCTTTGTTTCACCATTCTGAGTACAGATTTAGCAGCTCTGCTGCTAAAGATTAACACGAGAGGTTTATTCTTAGGCTTATTATGTAATAAATGGTCATGATAACACAGAGGAAGATGAGAGCAGAAAGTGCACCAGTCAGACTGACTGTGTATATGTACAATGACAAAAACTGCATGGTGTTCAAACAATAGTAATGAGGAGATTATTATTATTGGCTTATATTTAAATTCAGACATGAAAACTGGATCAGGACCAGCTTATTAATTCAACAACAGTAAGCGGGAAGAAATTGTACATTTGTGAGATGCAAAAAGTCCAAAGAGATGTTCTCGACAAAGCAAAGGGAACTACTTAACGTTCAGAAAAAAACCTGACAGGAGGGAAGATAGAGAGACGTGGCGGCAAATTTCTGTGGACTGTAATCTCACTTGCAGTGCCTATAAAAAGCACCTACCCCCTTGGATGATTTTTGGTTTTATTGCTCTTACAAATCAATCATGATCAACAAAATTTGGCTTTCTGGCAATAAATAAAATAAACCTTCTAAGTCAAAGTGAAAAGGGATTCCTACAAAATAGTGACATTATCTAAACCTGCTTGTCCTCGCAGGGTCACCCAGGGAGTCTGGTCTCTGTCTCCAGTGGCCATCAGGTTGGAGGCAGAGAACACCGTGAGCAGGTCGCCAGGGCAACAGAGACAAACACACGCACACCTAGAATTATAAGACCAATTAACCTGAAAGTCATGTTTTTTGGACTGTGGCAGGAAGCCGGAGAACCAGGAGAGAACCCACACATGCACAGGGAGAACATGCAAACTCCATGCAGAAAGACCCTGGGGATGGATTCGAACCCAGGACCTTCTTGCTGCAGAGCTACCGACTGCACCACTGTGCAGCCAAAATTAATGACAATCAATTAAAAATATGCAATGTATAAGAATAGACTGTATAAATATTCACTTCCTTCCAGTCGGTATTCAGTATTGATCCCCATGGCTGCTGACCCAGCAGGGAGCCAGCGTGGCTCTGTCTCAGGCTGGATGCTGACGTTCTTCCCAGATTGGTGGGGATCATCTAGCCTAGCCACACACTCTCTATGAGACTGAGGTCTGGGCTTTGACTAGGCCACTGCGGAACTTCCACCTTGTTGTTTTCAAACCATTTCTGTGTAGCTCTAGCCGGACGCTTCGGCTCGCAGACCAGCTGGATAATACATAGTTCTCATGATGACAGAAACTAATCGTCCTCCAGGATTTTCCTTTATTCTGCTGCCTTCATCTGACCTTCAACATTTAAGAGCCTTTAAGGACCTGCTGCTGATGCAGCACGATGCCGCCAATGCTATGTTTCACTGCGGGGATAGTGTGTGCAGTGTTTAGTATGTGCCAAAACATTTTGTCTTGAAACCAGTGGCTTCTTCTTTGCCACACTCCCAAAAAGCTTTGGCTGGCAACAATCATCAGCTGACGCTTTACCTGCCTCAGCGTAGCCGTGGTGACCTGGTATCTTCTCTCACTAGTCATGCTGTGATGACAGCCAGGAACACTGATGAACCACTGCTGATCTTTGCTCCACTCACTGTAAGACTACTGGCACCAAAGACGCCAAATTATTTTGACCATGATTGATTTTTAGAAGCAGTAAAATTGTAAAGCATCCAAGGGGTGAATACTTTTTACAGGAACTGTATCTGCCACTGCCTAACGGGCAAACTTTAGGAAATAACCCCAACATGCCGCAGCCAAACCTTTTAACAACATTAAACACAGATGTGAGGTGTTTTTCTGGCAGGTGGAACCTGATCGCCCACAGTGCGACCGTGCTACTTAAGATCTGAAAGCACTTGAATGCATTTCTTCCAGAGCGGCCAATGTGCTGTAGAGGATCACTTACATCCTGTTTGAGAAGCCAGGATGGGCAAGTGGAGCCTTTTAACATCGTAGCAGGGAAATGACGGAAGCTCACGTCTCAGAGACGAGGCATCAGCTAAACAAACCACAACTAGGTCAGCATGAATTATGGATCAGCAGTCAGAAAGCTCAGCTGTAGATCTGACTTGATTACTTGTGATTTACAATTCAATCGCAATGCGACCATGACTGAATGTGCTGCACCTTCCCTACAGATAAAAAGGAAGAGTCCTGTGTTCAGCTCACAGTTAGAAGCAAATAATTGTAGTAAGGACTTGACTTGTAACAGATTCTAACCCAACATGCTGTTCTCCTCCTGGGTTCTACAGGACATAATCCTCTCTTCATGTAGTTACTGAGTCACAAATAACTTTTCATTATTTGTAACTCAGGTGACCTGACTGAGAAAATTTCATCTTCATCAGATCTGAATGCTGATTGGCCAGTTGGGAACTCAAGAATCCAGCCTGATGCGAGAGCACTGCATACAGCATACTTAGCATGCTATACCAGGCTGCACTGACTGCACTGGTTCAGCATGTCAGTGTTATACCAGCACATCTGCACTACTACATAGTGATGAAGATTTTAAGTGTCAGTGAGGTAATACAATTGAGAATATTGACAATAAAATAATTTATTTAATGGGGTGTGCATAAGACTGACATGACATTGTCATAAGCATGACATAACACCTGTCATGAACATGAAGTCTTTATGAACATTTATGACTGTTGTAATGAAGTGTAATTCGGTAAATAATGACATTTTTAATGCAAAGTTGCTGTAAAAGTTGGATTAGAAATCCATTAAAAGTGCCAACTTTGCATTAAAGTGTCATTTACAAAATAATGCAAAGTTGGCACTTTTAATGGACTTCCAAGGCAACTTTCAGAGCAACTTTCCATTAAAAGAATGACAGTTCATGACAACGGTCATAGACGTTCACAAACACTCCTTCATGTTCATGAGAGGCGTTATGTCATATTTATGACAGTGTCATGTCAGTCTTATGCACACCCTGCCAAATAAAGAGTTACCAATTTTCCTTAGTGCATTTCTAAATGAGACTGCCTCTCAGCCGAACTGTAGATGAAACGTTACTTTGCGTGATGCAGAATGCTGACATAAATCACTTTTGGGTAACCGGTTTAAATAATAAACTGAACGTGGCAGAAAAATACTCTCTGAATGATTGGATTGAATTTACTAAATATTTCAGGATGCAGATTAAATACATTTTGTGAAGTACTTTGAGATAAAATTTGTTGTGAACAAATGACATATATGCTATTTGAACTGAACTTTTCTTCACTATAGATTTGGTTGTTTTGGACCCGATTATTTCAGGTATGTAAAGGAGTCGTCAGCCGCACATGTATAGTTTGGGATGAACTGGCAAAATGTGGCAAAGTGCAAGTCAAGTCTTAAATCTGGACTGATTTTTGTCTCTGGAATTAGTAAATTGATATCTGTTTATCCCCGCATTCATATTGTCCAACACTTCATTATATATTGCTTTAAACCAGACTTTCTTCTCATCCTGAACAATTTTTAACAACATTGAAAACCATTTTCTACATCCATATTTAAAATCTTTGCTCTCAATTCTATATAGTGAAGATGTTTAAATTGAAGGTACAAATTGCAACATCATGAACAAGATCGAGTCTAGTAGGGAAATAAATGAGTCATTTATTCTGAATGAACAAAACAGATAGTGACTTTATGATGACATTTTCTGCTAAGCGCAACAAGAAGTGCTTCTCCAAAGGTAAGTTATATTATTTTGCTTTTAAATGATCCAAAATCCTTTAATACGCCGTTCATTTGGGGGGAAAAAAGTTATGTGGGCATCATTATGAAGCTACAGCAAACATCAACAGATTGCTATGAGCCAATGCCATCACATAATAATCCATCAACACCACTGGCTAATAATCAAGATGATCCTTTCACAGTGCAGCAGCTGCAGCCTGCAGCTCACATAATGGCTAAAACTGTTACTCGACTGTCTGTATGTCTGCACATTACATCAATAGACACAAGCACAAGGCAAAATAGAAAAAAAATATCATTGGTTTAATCTGCAGGTTGGAGGTCATGTCAAACTCTTAATTGAATAAAATTACCTAAAATAACTAAGAGTTGTCAGTCATGGGAAAAAACAGCACATCCTAAGAAAATGACTGTATATCAAGTTTTAAATTTTAAATACTGATAGATTCAGTCATATATAACTGATTCAATCTTTGTTCACTTTTTTCCTCCAGTTGTCTGTAGCTGAGAGCGAATAATGTGTGCATGTCAGAGAAAGGTGAGAGACTCACCCTGTTAAAGCTTTTGGCCTGGAAAAGGTGTCCGTTCACTCGGTAGAGCTTCCTCCATCTTCTGGCCCCGCGGCGGTAGACTGATTCTGGAAAACAGACAAAAAAGCTGAAAAGCCACAGCATGGTGGCCTTGCTAAGGCTTTATAATAAAATAATGTTATAATATGTTCCATCATCCCACTGCAACAAAAGCTTTTAAAGCCATTTTGCTTTTCATGAGGTCGATGATGATTTTATCAGTACGAATCAGGTCATATTTAAAGCATATTTTACTACAAGGTTTTTGTATCTTTACTGATTTATTTTCTCGCAGAGACGTGTTTGCTTTTCAGTCGAGTTAGATGAGCTGTAGTTTGATGAAACAGCTCTTATGCTAGAAAATCAGTAACAAGCAGGATGTAAACACAGTGACTGAGCTGCTGGGATGATCTCCCAGTAACAATTCATTAGCGGCTCTCCCAGACTTCACTGGTTTCCTAGTATGTCTGGCTGCTGTTAGTGGATGTGGCTATGATACATTCCTCCAACAACTCATTTCCCCCTCTGTTGCCATGGTAGTCAGACCATATATCTGCCAGCTATTGCTAGTGAGGATGTCAGGATGACACTGTCCTCTAATAAAAGCATAGCTCAAGATCAAAGCTCACTGTGTGACGTTTGATGAAACTGACTGAAGCAGAGCAGCAGGAGGAAGAAGATGCTGACACCTCACGGTTTTGTACCTGCATGCCCCGAAGTGAACTCCAGATATTCTGATCATCTTCTTTGAGAACAAAAATGTTTTATTCCACCTCTGGATCTGAAGCACGACTACTTTCCTTTCCAAAAAAAAATAAAACTCATTCCATCCCATTTAACAACCATCCCATCGTTCATCCCATCTTTGTGGCTACAGAAAATAAACATGACACTTTCTCCATGGCTACACTCTGGTGTGTAACAATATGATCTATTTAGATTCAACTATCTAAGCAGATTAAGTTGTTGGATGACTACATGCTGCATGATGCACATGCTGAAGGTTTTCTGGTTGTGTGAAGAATGTCCGTGTGATAATAAATTCTGTTTCTATCTCTGTGATTCAGGGTTGGTGAGATCAGCGCGAAGGATCGGAAACAGAAGCAGGCCAGCTCCTGAAATCAGTTCAAGTCAGACTCATCTGTTCTCTGAATACAAGTGTGAGATGTTACACCTTCTTACATCTCATACTAGATAATAATAATACATTGTATTTAGTTTAAAATGATATGACAAAATGATAAAATCACTTGAATAGAAAGAGAAAATGGCATCGGGTAGAATAAGACAAAATAATAACATTAAATATTAAAGTAGTAGCACAACCACTAAGAAGAAATTTGTTATTAAAGTTATCTAAGTGACGTTACATTCAGGAATTGTGTTGATCTCTGTGATTCTTACAATCCAGAAAACATGGGTGAGTCAGACAAATCAAATGAGTCACGTATTGAATTGGCTAAAATAAATGTGGGCTCTCCCAGCAGGATTGGAGACATCGACATTCAAGGTGTTAACTGGCTGTCAAGAGAAGGCGGGTCACTGCAGAGGGCCTGTGGAATGTGAGGGAGGCTCCGTGTTGACCGCTGTGGTCAGGAAAACATGAGGATCTTATCCAAAACACAGCACACAGCAGAGTTAGCCAATCATTTAAACAAACGCACACAGATAAACATCATGGCACACAGGATGAGACTAATCAGAGTGGGACCGAGTGGGACCGTCCGACACAAACACACCAGCTGCGCCTGATTGAGGTGAAGCTTTACGAAGCTGGCAGGCAGCTGCAGGTCTGCAGAATCTGTTACAGTCGCCAGATCAACAAACAGGAGAGACCACAGCTCCCTGTGCATCCTCCTGAGGCAGCCAGCACAGCTAGACTAACGCAATGTGCTTGGCTTTAGACTCTGGCTCCTGACTGAAGGATCATCTGCAGGTCATTCAGGTTGCAGGAGAGCACGACTGCAACCTGTCCAGTAGATGCTGAATTTGGAAATCCTGGGAGATGCTTGACTTTCTAAGAGGTTTAAATCTACAATCTCTGGGAATGTAAACAGACACTGCTGTTTACATGTTACTCATTGCCGCTGTGGCTGGATGGATGGAGCTAGCACCACTGGACCTAGCATACGTCATTTACCCAGAAACCATCCATCCGTGTGACAAAATTTTATTTAAATTGAAAAACCAAACAGTTCACAGAGTTTTTACTGCACTGTCTAAAATGAATAAAGTAAAGTCTATCGTTACAACTAATTGTGGATCCATTTAACTAACCTCACAGATAACGCTTCAGTGACCACAGCTGTAAACATCGCTTATCAACTATACAGGTGACCTGGTAATGGATTATGAACCCAAACCCAAACACACCAAAGAGATTTCCTCTTTCAGTTTCTTCCTTCAGGTTTAATCAGATTATCTGTTGTTGCTAGAGTCCGCTCTGTCCCACTTCAGTACGATCACTTAGAGCCCAAGTCCAGTCTCCTCCACTCCCAGCCTGAAGGTCAGAAATGCTGATGATGCTGCTACAACACGTTTGCACTTGCCTAACGCTCCTTCAAATCACTGACCAATTTCAGCACCATCCTCGGGAGAACACAACCGCTCCAGCGCCCCATTTACGTTCCAAAGAGCCAGAGAGAGAGAAGGGGGGGGGGGGGGTCAGAGAGGGAAGGAGGACAACAGGTTACA